GTAAATAATGCCGATAATCATGATGATGAATCGATGATGATGATGATAACTATTATCCTAATTATTACCCTCATTAGTCATAGATCCATCCACCGATAAATAATGCAGATGATGATGATGATGATGATGATGACGATGATAATGATGATGATGATTATGATTATCCTTAGAACTCTTTTATTTATCCACGAATGAATGATGAGGTTGATGATAATGATGACGTCAACCATCCAATCATGAACGTTTCCATCCACGGCCAGCCACAACTCCCTTCTCTCTATATATATCTCCAGCTTGACTCTGTGTCTATCGTTGCGTGAAGGTTTGAACGCCCAACCTCATGTTTCACAGCCGTCTAACTAAACCATTATCAACACTAGTATATCATACTCAAGGTTTCACTGACTACCAGTATATTATCAGTGAGTGAAAAAAGAAATAGAAAATAAAGAAACTCACATCCCTAAATTAAGAATTGGAGACTTCAGGATGAAACGCATAGATCGAGAAATGGTCCCAAATTTTCGCGGTAGAAAAGACAAAAAAAAAATTGAGACTTTCTTTTTTTTTTTTTTTCTTGATTTTCGCAGGGACAAATTCTGTAAACACAAGTCGCTCATACTTAAGGATGGTCCTCAACAGCAGTTAAGGAAGCCAAAAAAAAAAAAAAAAGGTAAGAAAGCTAGGCTACCAGAGTGGCCCGGGGTTACTTGCCCGGCCAGGCCAAAACAATTAAAAATAATAATAATAATAAGTTTATTTTTAATTTTAAATTTGGTGAAGAATTTCGATGTGACCCTGAGGCAAAAGTTGTTCAGTTTATTTTTCTGCATAACATAGTTTTTTTTCGATTTTTTTTTTTTTTTTTTTTTTTTTGCTGGGACCTTCCCTGGTCCTTGCACGGGCTGGCCACCCAGGACCCGGGCGGCCCGGCTGGTAGCCTAGTAAGAAAGCACCCAACAGCAGGTGCTAGTGCTAAAACGCATTAAACTGAAAAATTGAAGGGGGCAAGGGGGAGGGAAGGACATCGGGGGCGAGATAACCGTCTGACAACGTGTCTGTGAGCCTGAGCTTGGACCGGTAGACCCAAAAAAAAAAAAAAAAAAAAAAAAAGCTCTAATGAATTATGCATGAACTCGCTGATATAATCATTTGTGAATCTGCAACGGTGATGGTATACACGCGAACCTTTTTTCTTTTTTTTTTCTTTTTTTTGTGCAACAGTAATGGTATACACGCGATTTTTTTTTATTTTTTTTTTTGAGCAACTGTAATGGTATACACGCGATCAATTTAAGCCGTGAAAACAAAATAATAATAAAATAATTGAACACAATAACTGATTAATTGATTGGTTAATTGGTTTGGCTGATCGATTGTGATGATAGGTCGGTTGATTGGTTGGTTGGTTGATGGATTAGAGAATTGATTTAGCTCATCGATTTGCTTGGTTGATTAGCTGGTTGATGACTTGATTGATTGGTTGGTTGGTTAGTTGGTGGATTCGGTGATTGGTTGATTGGTTGGTTAATTGATTGATTGACTGATTGATTAGTTGATTGATGATTTGATTGGTCGGTTGGTTGTTTGATTGGATGATTCCGTGATTGGTTGATTGGTTGGTTAATTGATTAATTGATTGATCGATTGCTTGATTGATTTGTTGATGCATTGGTTGATTAATGTGTTGATTGATTCGTTGATTGATTAGTTGATTGATTCGTTGATTGATTGATAAAGTGTATTGATTGGTTGATTGATTTGCTGATTGATTGGTTGATTTGTGTTCGGCTGACTGGTTTGATCGATTGATCACAGACCTGCCAGTCAGAATAGAGAATCTTTTCTGTTTCTCTTTCCTACCCACAGACAGTGACGCCATGCTCAATATATTGGCGGGAAGTGCGTTGCTTATCGCATACTGTGATAATCAATTGCGCGCATACGGACGAAAGAAGACAGACGCTATGATTTCCCGCCAATATTTCCAGGTTCAAGAGCCCTAACAACGATGTCTAAACGAGGACTGCGTCTTTTCCTTCCTTTATTCCTTTCGCTTCATGTATCTTTATCCTCATATCGACCTGGTGCATCACGGCCGGGATCCCTGTATTCTCCACATCCCCACAGTCCCACGATCCTTCAAATGGCCACAAGGTGAGAGAGAGAAGAGAGAGGG